CTCGTGGATTTTCATTTCTGTACACAAACAATGGTTTTAGTTTCTTGTCCCCATTAGCATTGCCTCCTACAAGGAGAGTTAGCCAATCATTTGAAGCTTTGAAGCCAGGTGCAGTCTTCTCGTTGACTGTAATATGTGTCCTAGAAGGCATGCGTTTTCAATATAGCCCAGTTTCATCAACATTAAGATCACATCCACCTTCTTCAATGGTTTTTTTAAAGTTTCTCCGGAAACGTTTTTGCAGCATCTACAACGGCACTGGTGACCCTTCATGAATTTTTTATTGTTCTTGAAACTATATTGTACCTGGAATCAGTAAAACCATCCATGGGTAGCCTTGAATGTTTTTTCTCTAACTGCTTCTTCTCCCAACTCCTTTTTCAAGTCATCACACAAGCTTAGTGCCTTCTCCTGAATGAGGGCTAAGCTGATTGGCATGTTCTTGTTGTGAAGATTCTCAGTCCATAATGCCAGCAGTCGTTCCATTTTTTATATGATAACACTTCTTTGTCATGTAATGTAACTTCTGTATGCTTTAAAGCATGCTTAGCTTTACTTTCTATTTCATCAGCATTCTTCACTATCATACATACACTTGTTGGAGAAAGTTTCAAATGATGCCCAATATCAACTACACACTCACCATTTCTATTGTGCTTTATTACTTCCATTTTAACATTGTATGTAATACTTTTGCAATTTTTCCTATGCTCATCATCTGCACTGTTACTAGCACTCCATTTGCTACTCATTATTGAAGGGTTACAACAATACTTTGCAATAAACACACTGATTATAATGAGCACTCACACTGACCATACAACATGAGAGAACTTGTGGGGAGTGAGCAACCCTGTTCCTTACCTTCCTTTATATGACGTAGCTCAGCAGGTGGGTGGTTACATTAAATTACTTTTTATGTGTGGTATACCAGTTAGTACAGCATAAAATCTTAGCTAATAATCCATATTGTAATAGTTTTAAGTTGTTAATTCTGTAAGGCAATATTTTAAAAAATGTGACACATTTTTCTCTAGGTATCTTCTTTTCTATATTTTTATCCACCACCCGTCCAATAAGTACAAAATTAAATGTAAATTACTCACTATAAAATCGCCATTGCCGAAACAGACCATAATTTTTATAGCCTTCAATTTTGTTTGGTTACAGAGTTATGAAATAGAAAATCAGACCCCTCCTGCCACCCCCACCTGTCACATCCTTCCTTTCAGGATTTCTTAATAGTTCTCTTTTATGTTTAATTATATATTACTTATAACCAATAGAAAGTGAATGTTTTCATCTATCAAATGATGTATTGTATAATATTATGTTCTGAACAGATAAACATCGGTTTCACTTATAATACATTCATTTCCATGGGAAAGTTAATGACTAGCTTGGATGAATTTGTAACAGCTCTTGTTACATAGTTAGAAAGCCAGAAAAATTTTGAGATTTAGGGGAAATTGTTTACTTTTTGCATGTTATTAGTCTATGTTCTTTGGTGCATTATTTAATTAAATAAGTATTACCTAGTGCATTACAACCATTAGTATAAAGAAAGTAGGGTTAAGTGTCATCAACAATAAAAAAATGTGATTTTTTGGATGTGAAAGACTTGTAATGTTAACTGAAAGACTGCCAAATTTTGTGAAGATATACACACTATATTGAAGTATTAAATCTATAAGGACATTAAGTGAGTACAAAGAGGTCATATGGTTGTTCAAATTGACCAAACCTGTGTTGAGAGAGTTAAGCTGAATCAAGTCAAAAACTATGAATGACGAATGTATGGGGAATTTTTATGTTGTGTTCCTGAAAATGTCAGCAATGTAAGGGCAAAACAATGTATACCATGATGACGTATAAAAAGGACCCCTGCATTATTACTAGGAATGCACGGGTAGTAATATTTGGCCAAATACTGGGTCCGAGTACTCAGTCACTAAGCTTCGGCCTGTGATGGGTGTTAAAAGGGACCAGGTTCTCCCTTGTCTCACCCCCAATAAAAAACAACGTACACAAAAATTAGGAACGAAAACAAAATTGACGTTTATTACATTTAACTGAATAATCACCAACAAAACATTCAAGTTTTACTTTCAATGCCAAGCCAAAACTTCTCAAACCCTAACCCCTATTGTTCTCAAAAACCCCCACCTTCCCCAGAAATCCACTTTCAAGCCATGCCTGTTATTAACCCCTATTGTTCTCTGAATCCCCAACTTTCAGCAGGCTGTCAGTTTTGTTGCTCGGAAAATTTTTTTTCCTAACTAAACCAATTATCGACTGTAACTTTCAGTACTGCATTAGTTGCCACAAAAATTAGAGCTTAGATGCCTAACTTCAACACTCGGCCAGTGCCGAGTATTACTGGGTAGCCCAATACCTGACCATGGCCAAATATCCGGCTAGGTACCCACGCATCTCTAATTATTACTATTATTATTTATTTTGCCTAATCTAGCTTTAATTTTACATTTTAGTTACTTTTATAATTATAGATAAAGAATAAACTTAAAAACAAGAAATAAAGTACTTACCTGGATCATCATCATCATCTTTTTTTTTGATGTCAGCTGTTGATGACACTTAACACTACTTCATATACTAATGGTAGTAATGCACTAAATAATTTTTATTTAATCAAATAATGCACCAAAGAACATAAAATAATAACATGCAAAAAGCAGACAATTTCCCCTAACTATTGCAAAAACTGTTACAAGTTCATCCAAGCTAGTTGTTATCCTTCCTGTGGGAACAAAGCTTTTACTTACTGCGAATTTGACAATTATGTGTTCAGAAAACAATGTAATATAATATGTCATTTGATAGATGAAAACCTTGGCTTTCTGTTTGTTATACGAAATATAGAATTATACATAAAAGAGAACTTAACAAATCCTGAAAGAGAGGATGTGACAGGTGGGTGTCGCAAGAAGGGTCTGATTTTAAATTTGATGGCTCTGTAACCAATAAAAATTATGGTTTATCTGAGCAATAACGATTTTATAATGAGTAATTTATGTTAAATTTCATACTTATTTGAGGGGTGGTGAATAAAATAGAGAAGAGGGGGATGTGTAAAGAAAATATGTCACATTTCTCACACTAGGGGAAATTCAGCATTTTTTAAATATTCCCTTATAAAATTAAGAACTTAAAATATGGATTATTAGCTCTGTTTTTATGCTATGCTAGTTGGTATAACATAAACAAAAAGTAGTTTAATTAAATTTTGAAAGTAACTCACTAAAAGAATATGACATGCACCATTAGACCCACCTGTCATGAAATGGGTGAGTATTCTTTGGAGTACAATGATTCTTGAAAAAGTGACGATATCCTGTCTAGTGGCAATCACTAAAATTCTCACCAGATTTGTCTTAATTAACTTAAGAGAGCTAATATAAGTATCATTTTAAAGTTCTTTTAATATGCTTTCATACAGTTATCCCTGTGTGCATGGGGTCAGTTCATTGGACTGAACCTGTATTGAAGAATTAATGTTTACAAAAACTTGCTCTTTTTCTAGTCTGAGT